AAACTCTCCTAGGACTTGTGTCTTGGATTCCCCCAAGCGAGAAGCTATTTGGGTTTAAAGGAATGGATCCAGTAGCACAGTGCTACATATGGAACCAAAGCCACGCGGGGATCCTTATTTGCACAGCTTCTGGATGGAAATCATAGCTACCTTTGGACTCTTCTCATCAGATTTATCACCAAAGAAAGATAAGAACAACACAAAAGTTGGGTTCATTCTCAGTCCTAAAGTTACAACACATCTTGGTATTGGCCACTTTTCTTTGACACATTATTAAAAAATTTAGAAATCATGCAGTGTATTTTCCCAGTGGGAAATTAGTGAGTTTCCATTAGATGCAGTTAGATTGCATTTCATAGCATCATAGGGTGGAAGGGACTTTAGAGGTCTTCTAGCCCAACCCCCTGCCTAGGGCAAGAATCCTCATATCATCCCAGACAAATAGCTGTCTAATCTCATATCGAAAACCACCAGTGATGGAGCACCCACAGCTTCAGGAGACAGGCTATTTCACTGTTTAATAGCTCTGTCAGGAAAGTTTGGATCTCTCTGTTAAGCTTCCACCCATTGGTTCTTATCTTACTCTCAAGTGCTGTAGAGAATAAACCATGTATTGGAAGACTGCTTTCATTTCTCCCCTTAGCCTTCTGTTATTTAGGCTAAATAGACCAAGTTCCTTTAACAGCTATTCATAGGATTTAGCCTCCAAGCCTCTTATCATCTATGTCATTTTTCTCTGCACTCTTTCCAGTTCCTCAGGGCCCTTTTTGTATTGTGGCAACCAGAACTGCACACAGTATTCCAGATGTGGTCTGACCAGCGCAACATAGAGTGGTACTATCAGTTCCAGTGATCTTGACACTATGTCTCTGTTGATGCAGCCCAACACTGCATTCTCTTTATGTAGAACCATGGCCTTAGAAGTTATCTAAGAAGTTATCTAAGAGCTCCTATTGTCCATAACAGAAGGTGACCAACATGAAGTCCAGGCTTCCTTTAAATTTTGTTCTTACGTAGGATTATCTTTATTTCATAAAAGGCCTCTGTTCCCATGTGAGTCCTATATACAACATATGACAAGTGACTACATTATGATGAGAGGGGAGTGGAGAGAGTCAAAACTGGGGGTGATGAACAGTGTCATGGACAGGGTTAGAGAGACTGATGATAAGCATGTCACCAGGCCTGGGGCTTCCAGGGAACCGGAGACATGCTTAGATGGCTCCATTGCTGAGTTAGCTATCCTTATTCTCTCTTGCCTAGGG